GTAGCGTCTACGTGACTGCGCCTTCGTATCCCGAATACCTCCTCATCTTCCACATACGTATTTTAACCATTATTTGTATTTATATTTCAATATTTTTTATTAAATATTTCATTTATCACCAATTTAAAAAATAATAGCAATACATACGATACAAGTTGCTAATGCATGTGATACTTTCATTCACACAATTAAAATTTGACACGTGGAAATTCCCCAAGCTGGGAACGAACGTTGGTTTCTAAACCTGAATGGGGTTCAAGGTTGGGTCGTCGATGTACTAATCACTATTAATTCGTCCATGGTTTTTATATACGTATATGTATACACATACATATATATATATATATATTTATATAGGTGAATGATCATGTAAAAAAATAATATAGTAAGAAACGTAAGAAGAAATCTAAACTTTTAATCACTTTTAGACTATGTTTGGCAAACTATAAGTTAACTGATGGCTGACAAATGGTTGATAGCTGACAGACTAACTGGTGGATGACAAATTAACTGGTAGTGGATAAGCAAATCATGTCTAAAAAAACTAGTAAAAATATAAATTACCAAAAAAACATCTTTATATATATATATATATATATAATTGAAACAAATCTTTAATAATATATTAACTAATATAAACGAAATAGTAAATAAAAAATATAATATATTGATTAAAAGAATTTCAAATTGATTATTTTATACTAGAAGGGTACTTACATAATATCGTGAATTACATCTCGATGTTAATATTTTATTTTATTATTTGTCTCCATCTACGTTATAATACGATTTTATATGATTTGAGAAAGCGACAATGATTTTATTTTTAAATAAAATATAAATTTAAAATTATCATAAAAATTTGAAAAAATATATCGATATTAGTATCAGATTATATTATTTAAAAGTTCTTGGTTTTTCTGTAATTTATGTATTTCAATTTTTTAATTATAATTTAATTTAGTTTCATAACAAAGTAATTTATTTTAGATATAATTATAAAATTGTTTTATAAGACAAAAAATAAATATTATGTTTGAACTTCATGATTATCCTAATTATATTTTAGATTTTTTATATTTAAAATGAGATATTTATCATGTATTTAATTATGTTTAACTTTAGTTGGTTACACAAATTCAAAGATGTAGTTTTAATAAGTTGTAGTTATGCACAATCTACTTGTAATATTAAATTTTATGTAATATACATCAATAAAGAATACTTTGTGCGTAAAAGATGGTTTATAAAAGTTTTTTCCAAATGTTTTATAATATAATATAGATATTTTGTTATTTAAATTTGTTAAAACAAATTTTAGAAAAATCTATTATTTGTGATTTTAAATAACCATTACATATAATATGAATAAAAATAAATATGACCT